TCTCATCATAAAAGCCAAATAAATAGTAACAACAGTAAATAAGTGTGGGAAACATATTTCTATAATTGAGTGCAATGTTACAAACCTGAAAAATTGATAATAATCAGTAACTTAACCTAAAAATAGGAAAAAAAGAAGTGATGGGTGGAAATGCATACATCATCATGTCGTTTTTCCTAGTGGGATTCATTATTCCAGCTAAAGTCTGGGTGTGGTTGTGCAAACCTTTAACCCCAGCACTTGAGAGGCAGAGGCAGGCAGATCTCTGTGAGATTGAGGCCAGCCTGATCTACACAGTGAGTTCCAGGCTAGCTGAGGCTACAGGAAGACCCTGTTCAGAAAACAAAAAAAAAACAACAAAAAGAATGCAGCTTTTTAAAATCTCCAACCATTAAATTCTCCCTCCCTTCCCTGCTCTCACTGACTCCTTCTTAAAAGCATAAGGAATATTTTATTGTTGTTCTTTGTTAATTTATTTTTATTTTTTTATGTGTATGTGTGTTTGCCTGCATGTAGGTAAGTGTACCTTGTACAATGCCTGTGGAGGTCAGAAGAGGCTGTCGGATCCCCTGGGACTGGAGTTATGGACAGTTGTTAGCTGCCACGTGGGTGCTAGGATTCAAACCCGGGTCTTCTGCAAGAACAACCAGTGTTCTTAACCCTGAGCATCTCTCCAACCAATCCCTATTGTTGTTCTTTGTAGTAAAACACATTTAGTTGAAATTCAACAATTCTTTCCATTTCACTATAGTTTCTTGGATCCAAATAAAATTGCTAAAATAAATATTTTTCATTTAACAGATCTGTTTTATAGTCTTGTTTCATAAAATATGTACATCTTTCCTGTAATTGCATCTACACATAAAGTAAAATGCAGCTGAGGTGTCCATCCAGTGTTAACTATGGTTACTCCTGGATATTTCGGGAGTATGAACCTTACTGCATCTTTTGATTTACAAGTACATTTCCTCTGAGAAGACTACAATTGGTGTGTTATTTAACCAGTGACACCAAAGTGACTTTGTCAGGGGAATGGAAGAAGAGAGAGGACATGGAGGAGGCTTGGGAGGGGAGGGAGCCAGGGCGCAGGGAGAAACAGGAAACTGGCCCAGGAGAGCTGCTGGCCGCATGCTGACCTACTTTCTCCTGAGGATCTGTTTATGGCCAGAGCTACTGTGGAGACAGGCTTGTGCCTGGGAGCTGAGTGAGGAGGCCAGGAGGAAGCCAGCGGGGCTGCATGTGTGCCAAGGGCTTGTGCTCTATCCAAACCCCCTTCCTGGAGAGGGATCCCTCACAAAGGCAGGCCAGGCTTCTAGAAAGAGGACCAATGGGCTTCCACTAACCTACTTAGGTCGCCCCCTGGACCTCTCTTTTTTCCCAGGGGATCCTGGCCTCTCCAAAGGACACCAGGCACAAGGCCACAAGCACAGGCCCAGCAACTTCCTGGTTCCAGCATGTGCTGCAAGGTTGGGAAGGACCCTGAGATTTGTCCCCAGAGAGCTGGCTCTTTCCACTCTGTGACCTTAAACAAGTCACTTCATTTTCCTCATTTTTAAGATAGAGAAGATGCGTCAGGGTGAGGAGTCTAAAGAAAATCGTGCGTGAGGGTGCCTGGCAGAGCAGCTGGCACATGGTGTGGGGCCTGGAGGGAGCACTCCCCTGCCGGGTCAGGAGAAAGCGTCTTGGTGGGGCATCACTGATGGTTTCAGGCCAGGCTCTGCTTGACGAGCAGCTGGCCATGAGTGACCTATGCTATCTTAGTCCCTGGCACTGGGAGTCATGCTGAGGAAATGCTTCCTTCTGGGAGCATGTCCATGAAATACTTTGGCTTCTTGCCCACTGCCTAAAGGTCTGTGCTGTGCATTATTAGTATAAATAAAAATAGTCTGCCCAGCAAGAAGGCTCAGCAGGTAAAGGCACTTGCCGACAAGCCCGATGACCCGAGTTCAATCCCCAGAATCCACATAGTTGAAGGAGAGAACCGACTCCCACAGGTTGTTCTCTGACCTCCACACAGTACACCATGGCATGCAGTGCCCATGTGCAAACACGCGCGCACACACACACACACACACACACACACACATACACACGCACAAAAATTAAAACTTAAGAAAAAGAGTCAACATTTAACAAAGCAATCGCTATGATGTACGTGGAGGGTAGGAGAGCTTCCAGCTGAATTACAGGTATGGGCAGGCACTCACACAATGGAGTAAGCAGAGGCTGAAATAAACCATAGAGCGATGAGAGAATTCTGGTTATTCGAGGGGCCCAAGTGGGCTATCCCAGGACCTGCGATGTTAAGGAGAGTGCAAGGACAGAAGGAAACTATAACCATGGTAACAGTAACAACCAAGGGCACTTTCTTTCTAGTGGTATCTGCCCATCGAGGCTATTACCATTTCCTTGACCAAACACCTCCTCTACCTTCCAGGCCATCTGTCTCAGAGTTGCAGACTCAGGAACCTAAGAACATCTGGACAACTTCAACTGAATGTCCCAAGAGCACTGATATGTTTAAGACGAGCTCACCATCCTCCCCTCATCTCTAGTCTACTCCTCCCCATGCATCCCACCTAGTGCAGACCCCCTTGTCCACCCAGGATCCCACGGAGAACCTGGGCACCGCCCTGGACCTTGTTTTGTTCTCCCCGACTCATCTGGTTCTCCTGTCTGCCAATTCTCCCTCCTGAAGCTGGGTCATCCCTTATCTCCTGGGATTAGCATCTTAGATGCTGTTATGGATTGTTCTGTGCTGCTGTGATCAACACCATGACCAAAAGCCACTTGGGGAGGAAAGGGTTTGTTTCAGTCCATCATCCAGGGAAGCCAAGGCAGGAACTCAAACAGGAACTGAAGCACAGACCACGAAGGATCGCTGCTGACTGGCTTGCTTTCATATACAGCCTAGGCCCACCTGCCTAGGGATGGCACCACCCACAGTGGGCTGGGCTCTCCCCCATCAATCAACAATAAAGAAAATGTAGCATAGACATGGCCACAGGCCTGTTTGATGGAGGACATTTTCAGCTGGGGCTCCCTCTTCCCAGGTGACTAGTCTGTATCACGTTGACTGCCAAAGCTGTGACAGATTCTTCCTCCCTCTAGACCTTCCTTCCCACAGTAGTCAGGGTATTCTTTCCAAACACTTGCTGTATTAGGTACTTTTTTGATGCTGTGATAAAATGACACAACCAAGGCAACTTATAGAAGAAAGACTTTATTTGGGGCTATAGTTAAAGACAGATGAGTCCATCATGGTGGGGAGGTATGGCAGCAAGCCAAAGGCAGGGCAGCAAAAATAAGAAGTCAAAAGCTTACATCTCCAATGGCAAATATGAAACAGAGAGAAAGAGAAAAACAGAGAGACAGAGACAGAGAGAGAGACAGAAAGACAAGAGAGCAAACTAGGATAGGGACAACGCTTTGAACTCTCAAAGTCCAAAGTCTGCCCCCAGTGACATTCTTGCAAGGCCACACCTCCTAAAGGGTCCATGACCTCCCCTCAACAGTGCCACCAACTGGGGACCAAGTGTTCAAATACATGAGCCTATGGGAGAGATTTCTCATTCAAACCACCACACTTAACTACTTATAGCAGAGGCTTAAAACTCTTCGTACTCTGCCACTTTCCCCCAGTAAAACCCAGACTCCTTACCACGATTGCCAAAGTCTCAGATGCCTTCCCCTCAGCTGCCATCATTCCCCACTCCTGCCCCAGCTCCCTCTCTAGCCACATGAACTTATTCACTATTCTATAGACACTCCTTGCCTTGCTGAGCCCCTAAGCCTATGGGTGTGCTATTTCCTCTGGTCAGAATACCCTTTGTCCTCCTCCTCTACCTAGAACACTCATCGTCACGCTTCAAGCCCAAGCTCACCTCCCTCCTTCCAACCCTAAATTCAGAGCTGCTCCCCCTGCCTCTCAGGCAGAACGCACCATCTTTTGAGTTCTGATTCTTCCTCTGGAGTTCCCATCCCTCTTCTCTGTCTCAGCCACAGCACATTTCTATTACACTGCTGGTACCCAAGCAACCACTCGTCAAACCTGCCCCTTCATTTATCAGACTGCCTCCTACAGAGTAGGGGCTCCTTAGTGCTCACTAAGGGCCAATAAATGAGTACACTCTGGTTGGATGTGGAGATAGGTTTATCAAACTTTAGTGAAATGAGAGAACCTTTTTTTTTTGGTGGTTTGAGGTTCTTTGGGGAGGGGTTGTTTTGTTTTGTTGAGACGGGTTCTCCCTGTAGCCCCAACTGACCTGGAACTCTCTATGCAGACCATGGTGGCCTTGATCTCACAGCCATCTTCCTGCCTTTGCCTCCTGAGTGCTGTATTAAAGGTGAGCACCACCACACCCAGCAAGAGTATCTTTTGAGGGGAAAAAAAAAAAAAAGCCTTGACACCCACACAAAATACAACAAAATGGAATCAGCTGGAAGGGACAGAATGGCCTTATGGCAGCAAGACTGTGTGGGGTCTCTCCCTTTCCTCGTGGGTCGTTGGCCACCGGTCCACAAGGACAAAGGGAGCAGAAGCCTTCTGGGGAGGCAGGTTCAGTGATGCAAACAGCTCCAGACTCAGTGAAACAGCTCCATTTATTCAGTGGGGGTCAGGGAAAATATAGTGTGGAGGCTGTAGCCAATGCTTCAGATGATAGGTGCTCATACTACGCTTTATTTACACGTGGCAGTGGGCTCCTATCGTCCGACTACCCAGCTCCATTTATTCAGTGGGGGTCAGGGAAAATATAGTGTGGAGGCAGTAACCCATGCTTCAGCTGATAGGTGCTCATACTACACTTTATTTACACGTGGCAGTGGGCTCCTATCGTCCGACTATCAGGCAATGCCTAATTATCACATAGAAAAAACCTGGGGGTAGTTTTTACTCCAGGTAACTATGCCAAAGGTCATGTTCCAAATAAGGTCAGGCATCCATACTTGGCGGCACTTTCCAGGTAAGTTAGGCAGAGAGCAAGAGGCCCCCTGCTGAGAAGGGAACTCCTTCCATATAGCGCCCGAGCCCCTTAGAGCTATCTGGACATGGAGGACTACAACCCTAGCAGCAGGGTTCCCCAACAAGACTGGACGGTAACCTGTGTGACCAAGGACTTATTGAGGGGGGCATATGCCGTGCCAGCACTCTTAAGGACCTGATGGAATATGCCCATGAGAAAGGTGTCAGAACAGAGCGTGGGTAAAGAAGAGTTGGCAGTGCCCATCAATACACCCCAGGTTAGTGCATGAAGGTCTCAGTTTCCATGATAAGATGAGTCATCTAGTGTAGGAGATCTGAACCTGGCTCCCCGGGACTCTGTGAACCTCCTGAAAGTGTATGTGTAATTGCATGTCTTTCTGAGGAAGAGTGTCTACCTTACTGAGATTCTCAGAGGAATTCCTTATGCCAAGTAGGTTAAGAGCGGTTAATACAGCAAAAAAAGTGCTCAGACATTGGGCTGGGGACATCTTTTGTGTATTCCAGCATCACCATCAGACACTGCCCTCTGATTATCTGGTTTTCCATCTGGCTTGCCTCTAGGAAAAGAACACAGTAAGTTACTGATGGGGGGAGTTGGGCCCCTATCAGAGGGATTCATCATTGCAAAGTTTAAAAAATGGGTACATCAGGAAAAGTGGGAACACATTGTGCAGCCCCAGGTGGCAGGACATCAGAGAGAGGGTGGAACAGACTACTAAGTGCATGCTTCAGGCGTGTTCACGTAGCACCTCATTTCATTATAACAAACATGTGAGAGGAGTGTCTCTGTTCTCAGGAGGTCAAGATTTACTAAGATGAAAACATTGTCCCGTCCCCTCTCCCATTCCTTTCAGCTCTCTCTCCATCTCTCTCTCCCTCTCTCTCCCTCCCTCTCTCCCTCTCTCTCTCTCTCTCTCTCTCTCTCTCTCCCTCTCTCCCTCTCTTTCCTGATGCTGGGGATTGAACCTAGGGCCTCATGCATGCTAGGCAAGTACTCTACCACTGAGCTATACCCCTACTGTCCCATTTTTTAAATGTTTTATTATTTTTATCTTATGTGTATGAGTGTTTTGCCTACATGTCTGTAAGTGTACCATGTGCATACAACACCCATGGAAGCCAGAGGAGGGCACAGGATCCCCTGAAACTGGAGTCATGGATGATTGTCAGCTGCCATGTCGGTGCTGGGAACCAAACCCAGGTCCTCTGGGAGAGCAATGAACAGCAAGTACTCTTAACTGCTGAGCCATCTCTCCAGTCCCCTATTGTGCCTTTGAGAGCATTGCACACACGCAGTGCACTTAGACACATGCAAGAAAAACGCTCACACACATAAAATAGAAATAATAAATCAAAAATAAAATTTTAACTGTAAAGGAAAAAGTGGAGGCTCAAAAAGTTAATGGCCCCACGTTGCAGAACACAGGGCCAAAGTTCAAAGGTCTGTTTTACTCTAAAGCCCAGAACCCAAGTTTCCATTTTTATTGAATCAGGTCACTCAGATTGGCTCTAATTGATGTTTAACTGTTACAGAAGCACAAGGCCAACTTCTCACAGGTTCACTGCCGGCCAGCACACTGTAAACCTCTGTTGCCTAATCTCCCTTCTTGGGCCAGAAAGGGAACCAGGATGTCCTGGATAATGAACTCACCGTAGTCTTTCTCTTCCTTCAGCCTCAGACTGAATCTGCATGTGGAAAATTCCAGAAATGTCCATATTTTGGAAGTGACGTCTGATTTGTTTACCAAAAAAAAAAAAAAAAGATCATAAAAGCAAGGCAAACGAAACAAAGCAGACACCCGGGGGAGATCGTTCTAATTGCTGTTCCCATTTGGGAGCTGGGATGGGCAGGGTCACTTGCTTCTGAGGGGCAAAAATTCCCAACATAGTGAGGGCTTTGGCACTGTCAAGTGGTTACCTCTGCTGGCTGTCTCATGCTTTCTGAGGCTTCAGGAAACAGCACATATCTTTAAAAAAAAAAAAAAAATGAAAAAAACACCTTGTTTTTATAATTATGAAAGTAGGGCAACAGAACACAGAAGGGGAAGTTACTCACAGCCCAGAGCCCCGAGGCAACGGTTATTCTTCCCATACAATCATCATGCATCCCCAGGGCCAGTGTGCTTGGATGTTTTGTTAGGTCCCTGCTTGGGCTCCAGATGTTGAACGTTCTAGCACTCTCCAGCCTTTGTTTTTGCCAGGAGAAGCATGTCCAAAGCGGATCCTAGAGTCCAGCAGTCCACGAGCTGCAGTGTTTGGTCCCCTTCCGTGACCCCTGGAAAGGCTCTACGATGAAGAGTAGACTTTCCCCAAGTTCCACCGTTCCACACTTGTTTCTTCAAATAACAGATTGTGTTACTGTGCTTCTCTTCTCTGTCCCTCTGAGGGTATCATGCTCTGCCACGTGACTTCCAGGAGCCATCCCAGTAGGTGGAACACATGGGCAGGTCAGACACTAACTGACTTGAGCTGATGGAATGTGGGTGGATGTGATTAATGCTGCGTCTGAGCAGAAGCATTCAACAAGATTGCAGAGCTCAGCCTCTTGCTTTCCTGCATTCTTCCATAAGATCTGCAAGTCCCACAGGAAAGTGGCTTGTCCCACCAAGTCCCGGAGGCAAAGGACACATGGAGCAGAGTTGAACAGAGACATAGCTCAGCTATGAGCTTGGATGCAAGAAATAGCTTTTTTTTCATTTTTAAATTACTTTCTTATAAAGCTTTTTTTTTTTTCCAGACAGGGTCTCACTATGTAGCTCTGGCTGGATTAAAACTTGCTATGTAGACCAGATGGCCTGGAACTCACAGAGATCCTCCTGCTTCTGCCTCCTGAGTATATGTGCCACCACACCTAGCAAAATATTTATTCTGAATTATGTGCATATATGTATCTGTGTGTGGGTGTATGCCCATGAGTGCAGGTACTCTCAGGGTCCAGAAGAAGGTGTAGAATCCCTGTAACTACCGTTACAGGAAGTTGTGAGCCGCCCAACATGGATGCTGGGAAGTGAACTTCAGTTCTCTACAAGAGCAGCAAGTGCTCTTCTGAGCCATCTTTCCAGCCCCTTAAGTTACACTTATTTATTTATTTACTTTATTTTGTGTGTGCTTTCATGTATGGGGGCAGCACACAGGAGCCATGGTGAGCATGCGGAGGTCAGAGGACAACTTGCAGGAGTTGGTTCTCTCCCTCCCTCCCTCCACCATGTGTGTCCAGGACTAAACTCATTCATAAGACTTGAAGCCAAGTGCCTCTACCCACTGGGCCATCTCGTCAGACCAAAACGTAAGCTTTGTTGCTGTAAAGCATGCAGATTTTTGGAGCTGCTTGTTGTAACAGAGCATCATTGTGCTGATTGTCTGGGTAAGATTTGAGGGGGTCTCTGCATCTTCCAGGACAAATGTTCCTCATTTCAGCTCCCTCCCCAAAGGAGACATCACCTCTCTCTGTCATTGGCAGGATCCAGGATATTAACATACATCTTCATCATATTTATGGAGAGCAAGGCAGCATGGCAATGCAGTTGGAGCATCTTATGGTTTGAGTCTAAAATGTCCCACATGGGCTAGTATAGAACCGTCAGTCCCCAGCTAGTAGCGCTATTTGTGAGTTGATAGAAACTTTAGTAGGTGGGCCTAGCTGGAGGAAACAGGTCGGTGTGGGGAGGAGTACCTTTGAAAGTTATACATGTTCCCTAGATTCCCACCCCTTCTCTAGGTGTGTCTCTCAAGGCATGTCTTTCTTCTTTCTGCCTCTGTGTCTCTGTCTTTTTCTCTCCTCTCTCTCTGTCTCCTGTGTCTCTCTCTCTGGGTATGTCTCTCTTCTCTGTCTCTGTGTGTCTCTCCATTTTTCTCTCCTTTTGTCTCTGTCTCTCCCCCCTCCTGTATCTCTCTCTCTCTCTCTCTCTCTCTCTCTCTCTCTCTCTCTCTCTCTCTCTCGGACCTTCCACATCACCTCCTCTCCTCTCCTCTCCTCTCCTCTCCTTCCTGTCTGCTATGATGTGAGATGCTTGGCCACACCATCCTGAAACCTCTGAACGTAAGCATTCTGGAATTATGTAACCCTTTACCCCTTTTAAGTTGTTTCTGTGAGGCATTCTGCACAATGACCAAAAAGTCTAACAGAGTTCTACTTCCTAAGTGCCCTTACCAACTGAGCCATCTTGCCAATTGGCAGAAATATCTTGTCCAGAAGTCTTAATACCATTTTTTTTTGAGACAGGGTCTCATGTAGCACACACTGGCCTCCAACTCTCTATGTTACCAAGGATGGCCTTGAACTGATCCTCTGACCTCACCTCCAGAGTGCTAGGATGTACCACCATGCCTAGTTTATGCAGAGCTGGAGACTGAACCCAGGGCTTCACGCATACTAAGCAAGCATCCTACCAACTGAGCCATATCCCCAGCCCTAGACCTCTGCTGACCTTATTCACAAGTTTTGTTTGGGGGAATTTGTTTGTTTGTTTGCTTGCTTGCTTGCTTTTGAGACAGGGTCTCACTGTGTTGCCCTGGCTGGCCTGGAACTCACAGAGATCTGCATGCCTCTGCCTCCAAACACTGGGATTAAAAACGTGGGCCACCATGCCCAGCTCACAAGCTCTAAATATGTTGTCCAAACATAT